TACCTTACCATCACACACATGTACCTTACCATCACACATGTACCTTACCATCACACACATGTACCTTACCATCACACACATGTACCTTACCATCACACACATGTACCTTACCATCACACACATGTACCTTACCATCACACACATGTACCTTACCATCACACACCTGTACCTTACCATCACACACCTGTACCTTACCATCACACACCTGTACCTTACTATCTTAAACCTGTAACTTACCATCACACACCTGTACCTTACCATCCCACACCTGTACCTTACCATCACACACATGTACCTTACCATCACACACCTGTACCTTACCATCACACACATGTACCTTACCATCACACATGTACCTTACCATCACACACATGTACCTTACCATCACACACATGTACCTTACCATCACACACATGTACCTTACCATCACACACATGTACCTTACCATCACACACATGTACCTTACCATCACACACCTGTACCTTACCATCACACACCTGTACCTTACCATCACACACATGTACCTTACTATCTTAAACCTGTAACTTACCATCACACACCTGTACCTTACCATCCCACACCTGTACCTTACCATTACACACCTGTACCTTACCATCACACACCTGTACCTTACCATCACACACCTGTACCTTACCATCACACACCTGTACCTTACCATCACACACATGTACCTTACCATCACACACCTGTACCTTACCATCACACACCTGTACCTTACCATCACACACCTGTACCTTACCATCACACACCTGTACCATCACACACCTGTACCTTACCATCACACACCTGTACCATCACACACCTGTACCTTACCATCACACACCTGTACCTTACCATCACACCCCTGTACTTAACATCACGCATCTGCACCTAAGATGTATAACACTGTGTTTTTGTGGCGTTGGTTGTGGCACTGTTTTATCTCCCACACAGGCATGCTTTGATGCTTGCAAGCTGGATGGTCTTTGTGCGGGGTTTACGTATGATGGAAGTGGTGGATGTACCCTGCATCATTACACGACTGTAGGTGTCGACACAAGTATCCAACAATCCACGCAGGCGTTCGTCCTTTGTGTTTGTAAGTATCCTATCTCAAGTCAAAGTTTCAATCAGTTTGTATTCTACGATTTGACGTATTTACTTTTTGTATCTGCCTAGATATCTGTATATATATATAAGAAGTGCAGAAGCGATTTATGTAATTTAGAAAATAACGTTTTTATATTTTTGTTTCGACTATAAGATATTTTATTATGTCTGCCAGTCGTAATTTCTGTATTTGGCAAATCCTGTAACCAAATTTTGACTCACATTTGATGCAGCAATAATCTTTTAGATTTCCAGATACATTTGTCTTCGACGACAAAGCAAGAATATCTATAATTCATCTAATTAGTTACTAATTCAGTCATTAAAACAATTAAAGCTACACGAGCTGACCCGCGACGTAGCATACGCCGTTATTTAGTTTAATTCTTATTTTTCAGTAATTCATAATTTGTGAATTCGACAGTACCAATGCTGCCACTGAAAATATTTGCTTTAAAACACTATCAGTAGGTCGGTAAGGATGATAACCCCCCCCCCCACATCCTCCTTTCCCCCAACCCCTACCTTACAACTCCCCCCCCCCCCCCCCGTGAAAGCAGCCTCCTCTTAGTTAATCTCCCCTAAGTTTAAAATCGTTTCAAACTAAATTATCTGCCCCTATTAGCCGTCACTGAACCCAGCTCTACGATTGTAAACATTTAGCGTGAACCACAGCTCACCAGACCATGTGGGGGTGGTAAGGATATGCTTAGAGAGGAAGAGGGGGACTGCTAGGCGCGCTTACAGCTTGATGTTTTGTATGGTCTCCATGAAGAGAATTATATATATATATGGATAAAATAAAAAGGGGAGATAAAAGGTCGATTACTGTTGATCGCCCGATCAGCTAGCAGACGGCGATGCTCTGTTACTCAGAATACTTAAAACATACATTAGGTTTTGAAATGCGTCTATTTATGTCTAATAAAAGTATTTCTATAGAAAGGCTAAAATCTTAGAAAAATAGAACCAAATTTTAATATCCTAAAAATATCTTTATGTAAACATATTGTAACATGTTTTGAAAATTGAAAAATATTGTTTATTTTTAACGGTGAGGCGAATATATTTCCGCTGTTCATAATGTCTAGTAGTTGGAATGTATTATCTGGTAGGATTCTAATCTACTACCTGTCGTTGATGACGTCATGCCAACTTATTTTATTGGGTTAGACAGACGAATGTGAAAAAACCGATCGTGCAGGCAGTGTATGGTGTTCACTCGTGAAACATTGAGAGCCGTCGTCTCGTTTTGAAGGAAGTCTTTTACTTCGATCAACAAATAGGGTTAGGGTAGCTCCACCCTTTTTGTGGTCTTTGGTGTGTCAACAATTTGAAGTAATTGCTCAAACAAATGTAAAAACATCACAATATTGCACTGATCTAAACTTTTAATTAATACAGCAACTTGTGTTTATGTTACAGAATATTTGGAAAGCAATAAAGTATCATCTCCAGCTAAGCTGATCATGAATTCCGAAGTCTTCAGATTTTTAAAAAGTCAAATATTCTGAGGAACACAATTTTTGAATCATTTCAGCATTACCGATGAAGAAAAGTTGCTCCCAAGAGTGTTGTTTTTTTATTGTAATAAATTATTTACTTTAACATTTTCAAAATTCTGGATTAGATTAAAATTTTGGCTTTAATTGCATGAATATTAATAAAGACTATTTTTGTCCTACTTTAGTTTATTTATATACTTTTATTTAATGTGAAATTATGCTGTATGAAAAAGCTACTCTATAAATTTAAACGTTACCTTTTCTTGTGGTGATTGAAAATTGCTCTCATTATAAAAGTTATTAAAAGAATTTATTTTAATTTTTGTAGGCCCATAAAGAAAAGAAATTCGTATGGCTAAAAACAGTTTTTACTTTTTCGTATACGAAGGCCTATAGAGCAAGAATTGTAATCGTGCAAAAAAAATCAAGATTTTTGCAAATCTCGACGTTTTACACCTCCCTGGGTCGGAAAAACATAGTTTTGTAATCTTGTCCTTATGTCTGTGTGTGTGCGTGTGTTTGTGTCTATAAACACGATAAACACGATGACTTGAGTACCGTTACAGCTGGATTGATGAAATTTCATATACAAGTATTGTATCAAATTTGTAGCTCTGTGTCATCTTTTCTGCGATTTCCAGTAACCGGAAGTGGAACTTATTCTACTTTCAAATTTTTCGAAAGCATATAACTTCTTAAGTACTATTTCAGATAGATAAATGAAATGCCACATGTAAGTAAAAGATCTAATTCTCTGCCTTCTATCAAATTTTTATTATTTCCGTTCACTGGAAGTAGTAATTTACAATATCTCCGATTTCTCAAAAATCGCATGTAAATTTATAATGTACTAATAATATTCCGCACTATTATACACATTTTGTTTGGCGTTTACTTAGTGTACAATTCTTTTTTTCTACGAGGTTCTATTTTTAAAAGTTTAAGTAATTAAAAATATATTAAAAATCATGTCTATATCCCGAGTTGCCATACAGTGCTATATAAGAATATTCCAGAAAGTTTAGGGGAGATCACTCCCGGTTAACCAATTAACGCACCGAGTGTGTCTGCAATACAGCGAAAAGATGTGTATTTTACGCAGAAGTTTAATATTTTAGATTTTGCAGATATATATATATATATATATATATATATATATATATATATATATATATATATATATATATATATATATATATATATTGAGAGACACGTGAATGTTTGCCAATGTAAGTGTTGCTATAAAATTGAGGTTCTAAACATTCTAATTGTCACACTCTGCTGAGGTCCTTTTGTGAAAGATATTTTTAAATTGTTATGGTAAATAACATTTTAGCTTTTTGTTTCAAGCATTGTGGAACCTTGATAGTTATTTTAAGTTGTAGGCCTACACCGTTGGCCATAATAATTAAGCAAGTTAAAAGTCATTAATCTCAACTTTAAAAAGTCTGGCACCTTCTAACATAAAATTCTGAAACCTTTACAAAACAACGAATTTTGTGTTGACGGTGAGTCGATTTATGTTTTTAACATTTTCTTTGAAAACTGATGTATTTTCTCATTTTAATTTAGTGGAAAAAAGTGTAAAAATGTATTTTTTTAGATCTAAAAAAAGATGAGCACTAAGAACCTGAGAACAGCCTGAGGACATACAGCCTGTCATGTTCAAGTGTAGCTGCAGTTAACATGAGGACATACAGCCTGTCCTGTTCATGTGTAGCTGCAGTTTCTCTGGTCAAGGACTTCAGGACTTAGTTACTTCCCTTAGTGTTCCCTTGTGTATCAATGTTTTAAATGTATTCAATGTCAGCAATTTGTAATTGTTTGTTATATTTTAAGGTTTAGTCTAAAATTTAGTTTTTTGAAGTAAATGTCAATGCTTTTTTTGAAGACCTGACATTCCCTGTCGAAACTACTGAGTTAAATACACATTTATATCAATATTCATTGATTAGAATTAGCTTGCCAAAACACATCCAGGGAAGTTCAATATTATTTAATTTACAAGCATGACCCAATTACTAATTTGTTCTGAATTTATAATTAATGTTTATAGTATAATGTTGTACATACGTACAATCATATAAATGTAAGGATATATATATATATATATATATATATATATATATATATATATATATATATATATATAATTGTGGCCTATACATTTATAGATTTATAGAGACAAATCCATCATCCTTTCAATGGCTAGTTAAGTCTAGACCTTGTCGCACTTTAAAAAATAACCTTATCAAATAGGCAATCAATTATAAATGACCACAATAATTAACTAAAATGTTTTGGATAAAATGAGTATTTATTTAGTTATTAAAATAAAGAAATTAGATTTTAAAATTATTTTAAACATGCGTAAAAAGAGGCTGTTTTAAATGGCCATTTCTAACTGAAATAATTTGGATGTGATTAAAACTACTGGTTTATTTAGAAAATGCAAGAAACTAACATGATTAATAACTTATAGATGTATTCAGCTATACTATAATAAAACATAGTATTTTTAATACCATCGACCCACATCTAAACTGTAAAAAAAAAAATGTTTTATTACTGTGCTAATAAATAATAGGAAATACTTCATGTGATGCAATGTTGAAATATACATTTACATAATATATTGTTTTTCTAAAAAAACAATTCATTGAAAATGTGTTTAAAGACAATTATAGATTAAACTATACTGTAAATGATTTAAATGTGTAATTATAAGCTAATCTAAATTTAAAATATTTTGGCAAATTTTTAAAATTATTTCATTAAGCAATAATTGTAACTGCTCTAAATAAATTTTTTTCAAAAACAGTGATTTTTACATTAGGATTGTAGACTGTTATATTGACAACCAATTTCTTAGTTCAACTTTTTGATTACGCAGGTTTTGTGGTAGAGATGAGCTCCACTTGACTGAGTGAAACGTTGTATGGTTGCACCTGTCTCACACGAGGCCAAATGTTTCCTCCAAATAAATATCTGTACAATAGTGAAAATAACCTCTTTAACGTGTACATTAGGAATACAAATAAGATGGATGTTTATTTAGAACTTATTCAAATGTTCAAGAATCTTATTGCAAGAGTCTCTTCATCACATCATCCATAGTGAATGTTTTAAAATGTGTCAAGGTTTTTAATCAAGCAACAGACCAACTTACTTTTTTAAAACAACATACAGTACAATCAGTTGAAGACCTACTTACTTTTTTAAAAAGATATACAGTACAATCAGTTGAAGAGCTTCTTACTTTTTTAAAAAGACTTACAGTACAATCAGTTGAAGAGCTACTTACTTTTTTAAAAAAACATACAGTACAATCAATTGAAGGCCTACTTACTTTTTTAAAATGACATACAGTACAATCAGTTGAAGACCTACTTACTTTTTTATAAAGACATACAGCACAATCAGTTGAAGACCTACTTACTTTTTTCAAACGACATACAGCACAATCAGTTGAAGACCTACTTACTTTTTTAAAAAGACATACAGTACAATCAGTTGAAGGCCTACTTACTTTTTTAAAAAGACATACAGTACAATCAGTTGAAGACCTACTTACTTTTTTAAAAAGACATACAGCACAATCAGTTGAAGATCTACTTACTTTTTTAAAAAGACATACAGTACAATCAGTTGAAGACCTACTTACTTTTTTAAAAAGACATACAGCACAATCAGTTGAAGACCTACTTACTTTTTTAAAAAGACATACAGCACAATCAGTTGAAGGCCTACTTACTTTTTTAAAAAGACATACAGCACAATCAGTTGAAGGCCTACTTACTTTTTTAAAAAGACATACAGCACAATCAGTTGAAGACCTACTTACTTTTTAAAAAAGACATACAGTATAATCAGTTGAAGTTCTACTTACTTTTTTAAAAAGACATACAGCACAATCAGTTGAAGGCCTACTTACTTTTTTAAAAAGACATACAGCACAATCAGTTGAAGGCCTACTTACTTTTTTAAAAAGACATACAGCACAATGAGAGTGACAACAAGAGCAGTCAATCCTAAAGCAAGTCCTACAGCCAAACCAATGTTTGTTGGATCTAAAAATAGAAAAGAAAAATATTTATATAATACTTTTTTTATAAAGCCCACCTTTCACTTTAAAATAAATAACTTTTTTTATATTTTCAAACTGTTTTTCTTTTAACAAATGATAAAAGTATTTGAATTTAAAAATACATTTTGTATATCATACAGTCGATTTTTAAAATATTTTTCAAATAATGCAAGAGCGAATGATCTCACCTTGAGAAGCTGGGTCCTCACATTTGTCCCAGTACCCCAGGTCCATGGGGTAGTAACTGCAGGGGTTGCTGATGCACTGTTTGACAGACTGAGCTCCCTTACCTACAGTTGATCTACCTACATACATACATACATACAATTAACTTCTAATAGATAATTTTAACTAAAGAATTGCTTCTGTAGAGATAGATCTTACAAAACCAAAAATTGTAGATATTTTTAAACTTTGTTCAAACGTCTAATGAGATTAAAAGAGGTCAGAGACAAAGAATCACAACACCCAGCTCTTGAACTTGGCTGTACAAACCTAAGGGAGCAATTTCAAACAAAACTCAGCACAGGGGGGGGGTATGGCTAAGGCTGGAGTTTGGTCAGTATTAAAGTTGTGTAATAGCAATTACTGTGTAATACCAATTATTGTGTAATACCAATTATTGTGTAATACCAATTATTGTGTAATACCAATTATTGTGTAATACCAATTATTGTGTAATACCAATTATTGTGTAATACCAATTATTGTTTAATACCAATTATTGTGTAATACCAATTATTGTGTAATACTAATTATTGTGTAATACCAATTAATGGACATAAATATTTCAAAATCTTTAATAGCAAGCTTTTAAATGCAAAAGAAATAAAATATAACCATACATTTTCTTTATAAAAAAAAACTTGTGTGTCAGTTGTGAAATGGATTCAGTGTATTTCTTTCAACTAATGTTGGATCAGCAGACAAGGGAAGTAAATTTTATTTTACTATTTATGGTTGTCTTGAGGAGGGATAGGTTAGAGTTATGTTGCATGACATCACAACTTCCAACAGCTGAAGTTATATTGGTTTGGATAATGGACAAAAAACTGGGCAAAATCTTTTTGGTAAGAAAATACAATATGGGGATGGGTTTGACAGACCTTGCGTAAACCTACAAGAAACGTTACCAGACTGGCATTAGATTGGAATCCCCAAGAAAAGAGGAAAGTAGGTAGGCCAAATAAACTTGAATAAAATCAGCTGTCAGTGGAGCAGAAGCAGCCGGAATGTCGTGGACCCAACTTGGAGGAATCGTCAAGAATTCCGTACATTGGAGAGGGTGTGAATGCATGCACAAGAATGATGATAATGAATGGCAATGTATTGTGTCTAATCTCTCACCTTCAGGGCAATCCATGCATGATGTCTGTTTCTCTTTGTCCTGATACTGACCTACCTCACACAGCTTGCAACTGCCATCTTGCTCATAGGACCCAGGGGGGCAGTATGCTAAAAGAGTGAGAATATGTTAACACGCTGACATTAAATACTTGGAAATTTTACTTCTTAAAACATATTACTGGAAAGCATTCTAAAAGAAGGTATCATTTGGCCCTTTTAATCTATCAAAAATCTATAACTAGCGTAACTAGCTTGATCCTTCCAATCATGTTCTTTAACTCTAACATAACAAAATGTTTATAACTAACATGATAGTGCTATAAATGTTATCTAACAATACTTCTATAACCCTATCTGAACATGCTAGTTCTGTAACATACACACACACACACAACGTACCACACAGCCCAAACATGACCTGAGACCCAGGTACACACTCCTCATACACCAACACAGTTGGTGGCAGGATAGCATTGTACTCCTGACCATTAAGGTAAACCTTGAAAATTTTAGCACTGTTATTATAGAGTGTCTGTGCCACAGTCTCAAACTCTACAATCCTGCTCCATACAAGCTTCATTTCTGTATCTAAAATTAGTATAGACATATATATATATAAATATTTATATATGTATATATATATATATATATATATATATATATATATATATATATATATATATATATATATATATATTTATATGTATATATATATATATATATATATATATATATATATATATATATATATATATATATATAGAGAGAGAGAGAGAGAGAGAGAGAGAGAGAGAGAGAGAGAGAGAGAGAGAGAGAGAGATACATATATAAAGATCTGATTAAAAAGTATAAAACCTTTATTTTGATAGTTATCAACGTAGGCTATGTGTTCACCAGCCACTTCCATATGTAGATGTCTAGCATACGTAAAATAAAACATGCACTGACCTGTAGCAGTAACAGAGTCAACATATGGGGTTGTCACATTGACAGTTATCACAACTTTGACATCTGTGGACAAGAAACTTTCTTGTCATGACATCTTAGACACCTTTACCATTTAACACAATTATTTTTTTAAAGGTGTCCAATTGTAAACTAAGTCTATTTTAGCCTACATATTTAAAAAAAAACAAGCCACACAAATTCTGATATATACTTCAGCTGTAAAGAAATATTTGATCCTGCACTATAACAACTCATGTAAACAGTACTTTAGATCATTGAATTTTGTAATGACCAGCAAGTGTTTTGTATACATTTTCTAAATTGTATTTTAATGCTTGGTCTAGCCATCTAACCAGTCAAACATTATTATTTATATCTGTTCATTTCTGTGACTATTTGAATTTGACTATCACAACATTGTTTTGGTGGCCAAGATGCCAATGAGTTTTCATCATTACTCTAGCTCCTGCAACTGATGTTAGTTTGTAGGCTAATTTGTTTCTCAAAGTTAATCTAAAGCCCATCTAATACCAGCATAGAACTCAATATTGGCAAGTGTTGATGGAAGCAGTAATTAAAGCAGTGAAACCAGTCAACTAAATAGTGCAACCAATGAGATCTAAATAGTGAAACCAATGATATCAAATTCCTCAAAGACAACACAACAAAAATGGGTTTGCTATTAACAACACACTTACCATAAATGACAGAAGTCTATCATGATCAACTATTTGTCTTTGTTAAATAATAGAGTTAAAAAAATTAAAATTTAATTATTTCTAATGACTACACTCACACGTCTCCCTTTTGTCCCTCGTGTCCCTTTTGTCCCTCGTGTCCCTTTTGTCCCTCGTGTCCCTTTTGTCTCTCGTGTCCCTTTTGTCCCTCGTGTCCCTTTTCTCCCGTGGTGCTGACCTGGAGACCTCTACAGCGGTGGTGCAAGTGGTGCATGAATCTGCTAGCTGTGTCTGTGTGTTTGAGTCGACCTGTTCTTGTAGAGACTCTGTGTCCTCGACTGGGTACTCAACATATGCCGACTCAAGCTGAATGCTTCTCTCAGCCACTGGCTCGGAACCTTTTCATTAGAAAATAATTCTGTAAAGACGACTTTAATAACTCAACCATTTTGTGCTCAAGAACCCCTCGATATCCATCTGTAACAGTTATCCCATTTAACTGCACATGACCTATTAAAACCATGCTATTTCTCACTATCCACCTGGTTGCCTTGGTCAAATACTAGGTGAGGCATGAGATTTAAAAGTACTATTTGTATAGGGGTAAAAATAAAGTTATGGTAATAAAATAAATTGTATTCAATGTATTGGTTACACAAGTGTATTCAATGTATTGATTACACAATTACACACGTGTATTCAATGTATTGATTACACAATTACACACGTGTATTCAATGTATTGGTTACACAATTACACTCGTGTATTCAATGTGTTGGGTACTCACCTGTACAGTCAGGTAGAAGCCCCAGGGGGTTGTCTTTAGTCACGTGAGACCAGGTATAGTTGCTGAATCTTCCACAACTGTACTTGATGTCCTTGTCTGTCATATAGCCTGGCTTGCACACAATAGAGCATACAAGCATGTCTGTCATGTTCTCAAAGGTACAGATAATATCATCAATGTTTTCACCATTCCTACTCAGTTGTGATTTAGTGCATTCTGGAGAGAAAAAATAAAAACACAAAACATATTTGAGCTCGTATACATATATATATATATATATATATATATATATATATATATATATATATATATATATATATATATATCAGAGGAGCCTGACATTGAACATGTAGAACAGCCTGACCTGTCCATGTGGAGTTGGCTGGTTAGATTTACCTGGACACGATTTAGTGCCACATTCTCGTGTATCAGATAAACTGTTAACGCAGTTGGCACCGCCATATTGAGGAACAGGAAAGTTACAGAGTCGAGTTCTCTGTTGTTTTCCCGCGCCACACGTTTGGCTGCATTCCGACCAGTTGGACCATTCGCTGAGTCCCCCGTCAACTGAAATAAAAACATGAATTTCTTCAAATGTCCTACACTGATTGGAAATAAAATACTTTAAAATCTTTTAAAAAAACCACGTTTTTCTTGTGGACTAAAAAGTAGAAAATAAATTTTCATACATTTGATGACAAAAAACGTGGGTACGTTCACCATCTAATTTCCCGACCCATCTGCCCGACCCACGTTTTTTGTCATCAAATGTATGAAAATTTATTTTCTACTTTTTAGTCCACAAGAAAAACGTGGTTTTTTTTAAAGTTTTTTTAAGTATTTTATTTTCTCCTTTTTAGTCCGTTACTACACATGAAAAACGTGGTTTTTAAAAAAGTTTTTTATATAGTTTATTTTCTACTTTATCTAATGACTTGATTAAGTATGAATTGACTAAGTGTTTATAAATACACGGACTAAAAATATTGAGCGACCAGGATTCGAACCTGGGTTGTCGCGGCCACAACGCGAAGTACTAACCACTATACGATCACGGCCAGCGCGCTCACATCGATTGGGGCCGAAGTAACTGTGTCAATAGGCCTCCAGTCTTGTCGGTATCTTTAGAAATCATGTCCTCAATTTTATGGTCCTTGGGGCGTAATTAAATTAAGCTAATTACGGTCTCTAATTGCTAGTTTTTATGATTGCATCTGAAATTGTTAGAAGAAAGTAGCCTGTATGCCAAATTTCAGATCTCTAGAGCAATCAGAAGTGGGCTAATTTTCGATGTCAATTTTAACAACAAACAAATCCATCCACAAACGCGAAGCTGAGTTAAGAAAAACGTGTTAAAAAACGTGTTAAAATTGGAAGTTTTAGACCTTATGTAAAATATTTAAGGTTTTATTTTTAATTAATTGATTCATAACTCATTAATATCAATGTTAATTGAATAATTCATAGCTCTCGTGTAAAACACATGGGGTAAAGTGTTATCAGTTGACCAGTTACAGTCAGTTATTATCTCCCTTTGAATTATCTCAGTTCCAAATTATGGCCCTACATTTGCATCTCAAAAGCTTATATCTTTTAGTTTCACACATCAACTAGATAGAAGCAAGCAAAAGACGTCGTGTATTTTAGAGTTATCCTTACTTGGGCAGGGGTTGAGCTGGTCACATGATTGAAACATCTGTAGGGCACCATCACACTCTGCCCCGCCATATTGGGCTGGTGGGCTGTCACACTTCCGCTCGCGATGGGCTGTTCCCACACCACAGGTGACAGGACAGCTCCAATCTGACCAAGGACTCAGCCCGCCATCAACTGATTTGTTATTTTTTTAAATTTTAAACTGCTAAACATTGTAACACTTGAGCTACTATAGTTTAAAAAAAAAATTATCAAACTGTTTGGTTGAAATAAATTTGGACATTGTGTTTTTGACAGTAAAAGCTAATTATGTAGTTAATTTGAAAAGTTTGAGCTAACAAATTCCTGAGCCAAACATGTAACCAACCTGGGCATGGTTTTGGAGAGCAATCCATTGTGTCTGTAGCCAGACCTGCACAAGGTGCCCCATTCTTACTGGGGCTAGGGTTGCTGCAGCTACGGTTTCTTCTTAATCTGCCCACTTCATCGCATTGGGTTGGACAATAGTCTGCCGTGTACCATTCACTCCAACCACCATTTACTGTTTGATATCATCTCAAATATATTATTAGATCACACACACACACACACACACACACACACATCAATGAATGATGTATGTGCTACCAGCATTAGGGGATAGGCTCCAGAAAAAAAAATGGGGGAAAAACTTTTTAATTAATAAGCCTTTTTCATTTATTTGTGTATGTATAAGAGAGGGAACTTAAGGGACTCTTCTGAAAATATGGTTTCCATGGAAACGGCGGCCATCTTGGAAAAAACTACCTTTTGTGGAGTTCTAAAATTTCCTAAAGTAACATATAAACCGCCCATATAATCATTGATCCTTCTTGTACTAACACAAATAGAGTCAGCTGGCTACTTTTGGTAACCAAAAAACAGCTAGAAATATTTTTTTTCAAATTTTCAAAAAAAAAATTATGTTGAAATTCCATTGAATTTAGCATTAACTTCAATGGAATTTCGGCACACCAAATTTTGAAAATTAAAAAAACATTTTTTAGAGTGATTTCTTTTACAAAAACTAGCCAGCTGACTCTATTGATGTTAGTACATGGAGGATCAATGGTTATATAACCGTAATATATATTAGTTTATGAAATTTTAGAATTCCAGAAAAGTATGTTTTTTTCAATATGGCTGCCGTTGCCATGGCAACCATATTTTCAGAAGAGTACCTGATGCATGAACATAATTTCCTTTAAGTACCCTAACTTAGATATACACAAATCAATAAAAGGTTTTAACTAAGAAGTTGGTTTTTTTCTGGAGCCTACTGTTTCATGAATGTACTCCACTTGAGTTGTACCCTTTAGTTTTCAGTGTTGTCACTGAGTGACATTGTGCATAGCATCTTAAAAATCCATGTGAAGTATGGCATTTATAAGTAAGTATATTTATCTTGAAATCATCAGCGGCGTAGCCTGGAAGTGGTCATGGGAAGGGTTCAGACATTTTTCCTCATGTATAAAATTATATATATATATATATATATATATATATATATATATATATATATATATATATATATATATATATATATATATATATATATATATATATATATATATATATATATATATATATATATATGAGTGTGTATATATATATATATATATATATATATATATATATATATATATATATATATATATATATATATATTTATATATATATATATGTATATATATATGTTTTTTTATTTATTTATAGTACATATATATATATATATATATATATATTTATAGGGGTAGGGGTCCATGGTAGGGGTTATAACCCCCCGCTCCAACCCACCACCCCCCCCCTGCCTACGCCACTGAGCACCATAATATAAAATATTGGAATTATCTTGTAAACACCATGTGAAGTATGACACTTATTTTGTAAGTGACATATAAAGTATGGCACTTATCTTCTAAGCACCATAATATACAATATTGGAATTATCTTGTAAACACCTTGTGAAGTATGACAATTATCTTGAAGGTGACATAAAAATTATGACACATATCTTCTAAGCACCATATACAAATATGGCACTTATCATCTTATAAACACAAACTCTGGCATTTTACCGCAATAATTTCTTAAAAGTACCTTTGATCATCAACATTGCATCAGTAGCAGTTTACCTTTATATAGCGTACACAGAGCTCCAGAATAAGTCGGACTGCACACACATGTGTAGTTCCCAAACTCGGGGGTGGGGGTACACTTTCCTCCATTGGCACACTTGTGTCCCTGACACAAATCTGTCACGTTCTGAAAATATTTGAAATTTATTTGTAACATTTCTCTTGTTAGTTTTAATGAATCATTTGACAGATCAAATCACTATTTCTACATTCTAGACAGCCAAAGGGGCAATGATGTATATCTTTGTGACAATTTTGTTGCTCATTTTGATGAATTTGTTTTCAATTAGGACACAAAATATGCCGAGTTATAACACAACGCTAACACAACTTACGGAGTATTAATAATAATTTCTTGAAACTTAAAGAATTATTTACATAGCAAATACATTCTAAGTTGAGGAGGGGGTGGCTACAAGCAGCTATTTTTAAACAGACAGACTCATCCAATTAGATGTTTAGAAATGAGGGTGCTGACGTACCTGACAATTTTTCCCAAACCAGTTTTGCTCACATGTGCAGAAGTAGCCGTCCTGTGTGTCGGTACACACTCCGTGCTCGCCACACGGACTAGAGGCACAGCCATCTTTTGCTGCTCAAAGGTTGGTGAACTTTCTCATTAGTAAAGTTTTATATTGTGTTCAAATGTGTAATTATAGCTGGCCTACTGTCAAATTATTTGAACATTAAATAGTGGACACACTCAACTACCTTTGATTGGTCTTATTTAAAGTGTATTGATTGATTTAATCAAATTATTTAATTGAATTTATGCTTATATTGTAAAAACTTGGCTTTACTGATTTCATTATAGAAGTAAAATAGCTAACCATCACACGAGCTAGGGTTTACCAGTGACGTCATCAGGTAATTAGCCACAAGAATGTTTCCATCCAGCTTCCAGTTGCAGGTAGTGCTGAATGTTTGTATTTCTTCATCCGTCAAGATTGAATTAGAAACCTGCAACTCACTGATAGTGAGTTCTAGAAGAAATATTTCTATAAGAAAAAGTTTTCCTTTGGTAAACAAACAAAATCTTTGAGCTTCAAAAGCTTACCTTGTTAGGTTTCCATAAAAAAATCCTAGAAAATGTAACAAGCAGTAACATGCCGTGTTTACCTGGTATATCGTCTGATGAATAAAAGACAATGCTGCCTACAAGTCCAGCATTGGGGATAGACGTTTGGAATTCCAAGTTTCCGTCTAGATAAAAGCTGAGAAGACTGGAAGCTTTTACCACAGCAATGTGATACCATTGTCTGTAGAGAGAAACTTTAAGCAAGACTCAAAAAGCATAAGAAAATGTCAAGAAAAATCATGAAACCATTTTTAAATTAAGAATAAGCAAGAAATATCACATAAAAAAATAAAAAATATCAAGTAAGGCCAAGAAACTTAATAAAAACATTGAAGTATGAAACTTTTGGAAATAATGTTGTTGTTTTTTATGTAGAACTTAAATAAATATGAAAATATTAATTAGGACCTAGTTACTTTTTATTTTGACTGTAGAAGGCTGAGTATTGTGAAATGTAAATACTAAACCAGCCCCCAACCAGTGAAGCTGCTTTTGAGTCAGGTGTGAGGGAGAGTCTTGTTTGGGTTGAGGTTAGGTCTGATGGCATGTTGATCCTCATCAGGAGAGTCAGGTTGTAGGCTGAAGCTGTATTGGCATCCAGCAACTGGGATCCGTTTCTCAGGTTCATGTGGTAGACTGAGCAAAGAGATGTGGATGACAACTTCAGCTCGCATTGAATGGTTTTTATTTTAATTTTAAACCTTAAATGAGTGTAGCTATTCATATCTAGACTATCTTGATGTAGTGGGGAGGGAACCATGTTGATGTAGTGGGGAGGGGAGGGGACCATGTTGATGTAGTGGGGAGGGGAGGGGACCATGTTGATGTAGTGGGGAGGGGACCATGTTGATGTAGTGTGGAGGGGACCATGTTGATGTAGTGGGGAGGGGACCATGATGATGTAATGGAGAGAACAATTAAAATTTAACTTGTCTTACAGGCACAACTTTCGGCAGAAGTGGAGCCTTTGCCTGTTGTTGACATCCCATAGGGACATACAACACAGGACCTTTGGTTTTGTTTATTCTGGTAGCTTCCTCTAGCACATCGGTCGCAGGGCTCTAGTCCAGACTTGGAGGATGTGCCAGCACTACAGTACCCTGTTGTATTTAGGGATCAAAGCATTCATTTAGCCACTTAAAATAGACTCTCAATCTACGCAACAAGTAACAACAAATGTACTCACTGAGGCACTGATTACTCGCCGTGGCACCTTCAGTTAGAGTGCTGAAGCCGGCAGCACATCCAAAGCACTTGGTTCCTTCCGCCAGAGATTGGTAGCTCCCAATCGGGCAAGCTGCACACGTCTTTGTATCCCTTCTATAGACATAGCCTTTCCCACAGCCAACTGTTTTAACAAGCAATAATTAAGACGACGGTTCAAAGTTAGTATAGTGGCATATCACACATTGGCGTCACACTTTTGTAGCTCATGTGGCTGATTTTTATATCTATAAACAGTGGCGTAACTAGAAAAAAAGGGCCACCCCGCAAAAAAAATTTCTGCCCCCCCCCCATATGTATATATATATATATATATATATATATATATATATATATATATATATATATATATATATATATATATATATATATATATATATATACATATACATACATATATATACAAACACAGAATACAAACATTGGATAGTCATTTCTGGCCTGTTCGGGTTTTGAAAAAACAGTTGTTTTTTTTTCAATTTAAACAAATTACAACATGTCATGTGTGTGAGTGCATAAGTCTGTTTTGAATTTTTTAAATTTTCTTTTAGATTTAGAACTCGTTTATTCAATGTGTTTGCTGTAATACTGCCTACTCTCTAGCCTAGTCCATAGCCGGTTAAAAGAATAAAAAGTGTGAAAGCTTTGTAATGGTTTCTCGTTTTATGTTTATTTTTTTATTTTTTTTTTTACTTCCTCGTATATACGAAGTATAGAAAAAGTCTTGTAATCGTGCAAAAAAAAACCCGAGATTTTTTACAAATCTGGACGTTTTACACCTCACTGATACGGAAAAACATAATTTTGCAATCTTGTCCGTATGTCTGTGTGTGTGTAAGCACGATAACTTGAGTACCATTACAGCTAGGTTAATGAGATTTTATATATAGGTATTTTATCAAAATCGTAGTTCTGACTCAACTTTTGACCGATTGCCGATTACCGGAAGTGGTACTTTTTCTACTTTGAATTTTTCAAAAGCCTATAACTTGAGTACTATTTCAGATAGATAAATGAAATTTCACATGTAAGTAAAAAATCTAATTCTCTACCTTCTATCAAATTTTGAGTAATTTCCGTTGACCGGAAGTACTAATTTACGCTATTTCCGATTTCTCAAAAAACGCATGTAAATTTATAAAGTACTAATAATATTGCGCACTATTATCCACATTTTGTTTCGGCGTTCGCTTGGTGCGCAATTTTTTTTTTCTATGAGATTCTATTCTATTTTTAAAAGTTTAAGTAATTAAAAATCATGTCTATATTCCGAGTTGCCATCCCACGTAGTGTTTATTAGGATATTCGAGAAAGTTTAGGGGAGATCACTCCCGGTTTATTGTGTTTGTATTATTTGTTTAAATATATTTTCTTTTTTTGCTATGTCAATCTTTAGTATGTATTTTTTTAATTATAATTAAGCGAAGTAATTGCTTTATAATTTGTTTAGTAGAAATATATTAAAAGGAGCTTATGAGCAGCCCTATTTAACAATTGAAAAAAAGGAAATAAGTCATAAGTGTTTTGAACGTTTGCCTATCTTTTACACTACAGCTCAGGCATATAGATTCTACATTTTTTTTTACGCAACAGCATGTGTTAGCTACTGTATAACATCACTACTGCAGTAGATCTGTTTTTTATTTAGAAAAGCTTTTACCGTCAAGTAAAAAATGTAAGAAAATGATTTTTTTTACTATAAAAATTTATAATGGTCGGCTATAGGCCCCTAAATGGCGTGCCCTCATCCCCCCCCCCCCGCATTGCGGGGTCTGGCGGCCCTGTAGTTCCGCCCCTGTCTATAAAATCAAGGTTGATTCTGTCTGTCAATCACATCGGATATTTGCTGGCAAGTGCAGAAGTAATTTCTTATCAAAGTGGGCTATGTAATTAAAATTCCACGGGACAACTTTAGCCATCTCATTAATCTCGTTGAAAATGACCAAAAACTGACTTCGACTTGCCGAGACCTGATGTAAAACATATTTGGTAAAAAGTCGGAACCTGGAAAGGCCTAATGATGTTTACATATCAGATAAAACTAACTTCAAATCACAAAAGAACAAATGCCAAGAGCTCCTGGACTCTGGGAATAAAGTTATAATTCACGGTTTAGGTAAAGCTGTCAATAGAGCCATTAACTTGGCCCTGCAGCTCAAATCAAAAGGACTAGGCACAGTACAAGTGTGTGTTCAGTCATGCACAGTTGACCTTGTAGATGATTTTATTCCAGAATCTGACGACAGAGACATGAAAACTTCTATCAGAAGCAACTCAGCCATCCATATTCGTGTTTACAGGTCTAATGATCTCAACCAAAGCAAGTGGATCCCCTATTAGCAGTTACAGACCATCTATATTCGTGTTTACAGGTCTAATGATGATCTCAACCAAAGCAAGTGGATCCCCTTTTAGCAGTTACAGACAAGCCCCTTTTGCTGGTGACCAGAAAGATGCGCAATGGAAAAAAGCGCAAAAAAAAATTGCGCAACGGAAAAAAGCGCAAACAGAAAAAAGCGCACACAGAAAAAGCGCAAACAGAAAAATGCTCAAACAGAAAAAAGCGTACACGGAGAAAAGCGCAAACAGAAATTTGCGCACACAGAAAATGCGCAAAGAGAAATTTTAGCACAAAGACCTATATGGACTAGATGACACATTTATACATGATTGTTAGGGATGACTCGATCTGCTACTATTTAAAGAATATCACTCAAGAATCACTAAAGAATATCACTCAAGAATCACTAAAGAATATCACTAAAGAATCACTAAAGAATATTACTAAAGAATCACTAAAGAATCACTAAAGAATATCACTAAAGAATCACTAAAGAATATCACTAAAGAATCACTAAAGAATATCACTAAAGAATCACTAAAGAATCACTAAAGAATATCACTAAAGAATATCACTAAAGAATCACTCAAATAATTTCGCAAAAATATCACGCAAAGGGTTATTAAAGTCATAGATGTTTTTTAAATAATTAATCTTAAAGATTATATTACATTAACTTTTCATGTTAACTTTTACAGTTCGATTAGGACGCATGTTTTGATATATAATGGAACGCTAAATTTCGTGATTTTCTGCTTTTTTTAAACGATACTATAGAATTAATTCAAAATTATTTAGTTTGAAAAGCTACCTACCTTGTGCATAAACCGAATGATGAAGACTTTGTTTACTTTTTCACAATTTTTTTTTTGTTATTATAAGAAAAAAATGGTATCTGGCCATATTTAACGGCCCGAGGGGGAATTACGACGGACAGAAAGTTTTGTCACCCCCCCCCCCCCAGGGTTGTTCTATGACGTCGCGGAGCGGCATAGGAGGTCGTCGAGGAAAAATTAGTCTTCGATATATAGCTCTGAAAGGAGAATTTCACTTAAAGTCTGACTGTCAACTTTCCCATACGGCATAGCAGTTTATTTTTTCTTCAGCTTGAGTTTTACTTTAGCTACCAGTAGGTGATGGTCTGAAGCAACATCAGCTCCTCTCTTGACGCGTACATCCTGAAGTGATCTCCTGAACTTTTTTATGATACATATATGGTCTATCTGGTTTTCTGTAGTTAGGTCGGGTGATACCCAAGTAGCTTTATGTATCCTTTTGCGATGAAAGGAACTCCCTTCAATTACTAAATCACTTGTGGCACACAAGTCAGCAAATCTTTCTCCGTTTTCGTTCATCTCACCTAAACCCTGCTGTCCCATACATTCTTCATATCCTCTGTTGTCGCTTCCAATCTTAGCATTGAAGTCGCCCACATGCAAAAAATTTCCCAGATGTACAGAGATATACCCTAAAATCTTTTTTTTTTAATTACCCTTTGTTTTTTACATAAATTACAAAGATTAAATATTGAAAGTATTCAAATGTATTGGATACCTTTAGTAATATTTAGGAAGGCTTATATAAAGAGTGAGGCGTATATAGGCCAATATATACCCATCTCCATCATCGCATTACTTACAACACAAAGATGTCATCGCATGACTTACCACACAAAGATGTCATCGCATGACCTACAAAACAAAGATGTCAACGCATGACTTACCGCACCAAGATGTCATCACATGACTTACCACACAAAGATGTCATCGCATTACTTACAACACAAAGATGTCATCGCATTACTTACAACACAAAGATGTCATCGCATGACTTACCACACAAAGATGTCATCGCATGACTTACCACACAAAGATGTCATCCATGACTTACAAAACAAAGATGTCATCGCATGACTTACCACACAAAGATGTCATCGCATGAGTTACCACACAAAGATGTCATCGCATGACTTACAAAGCAAAGATGTCATCGCATGACTTACCACACAAAGATGTCATCACATGACTTACCGCAAAAAGATGTCATCGCATGACTTACCACACAAAGATGTCATCGCATGATTTACCACACAAAGATGTCATCGCATGACTTACCACACAAAGATGTCATCGCATGACTTACAAAGCAAAGATGTCATCCATGACTTATCACACATAGATGTCAACGCATGAGTTACCATACAAAGATGTCATCACATGACTTACAAAACAAAGATGTCATCCATGACTTACAAAACAAAGATGTCATCGCATGAGTTACCACACAAAGATGTCATCGCATGACTTACCACACAAAGATGATTTCGCATGACTTACAACAAAAATATGTCATCGCATGACTTACAAAACAAAGATGTCATCGCATGACTTACCATACAAAGATGTCATCGCATGACTTACCGCACAAAGATGTCATCGCATGACTTACAAAGCAAAGATGTCATCGCATGACTTACCGCACAAAGATGTCATCGCATGACTTACAAAGCAAAGATGTCATCCATGACTTACCACACAAAGATGTCATCGCATGACTTACCACACAAAGTTGCATCGCATAACTTACCACACAAAGATGTCATCGCATGACTTATCAAACAAAAATGTCATCCAGGACTTACCACACAAAGATGTCATCGCATGAGTTACCACAAAAAGATGTCATCGCATGACTTACCACTCAAAGATGTCATCGCATGACTTACAACACAAAGATGTCATCGCATGACTTACCACAAAAAGATGTCATCGCATGACTTACCACACAAAGATGTCATCGCATGAGTTACCACACAAAGATGTCATCGCATGACTGACAAAGCAAAGATGTCATCCATGACTTACCACACAAAGATGTCATCGCATGAGTTAAAAAGCAAAGATGTCATCGCATGACTTACAAAGCAAAGATGTCATCCATGACTTATCACACAAAGATGTCAACGCATGAGGTACCACACAAAGATGTCATCGCATGACTAACCATACAAAGATGTCATCCATGACTTACAAAACAAAGATGTCATCCATGACTTACAAAACAAAGATGTCATCGCATGAGTTACCACACAAAGATGTCAACGCATGACTTACCACACAAAGATGTCATCACATGACTTACAAAGCAAAGATGTCATCCATGACTTACAAAACAAAGATGTCATCGCATGAGTTACCACACAAAGATGTCATCGCATGACTTACCACACAAAGATGTCATCGCATGACTTACCACACAAAGATGTCATCGCATGACTTACAAAGCAAAGATGTCATCGCATGACTTACCGCACAAAGATGTCATCGCATGACTTACAAAGCAAAGATGTCATCCATGACTCACCACACAAAGATGTCATCGCATGACTTACCACACAAAGATGCATCGCATAACTTACCACAAAAAGATGTCATCGCATGACTTATCAAACAAAAATGTCATCCATGACTTACCACACAAAGATGTCATCGCATGACTTACCACACAAAGATGTCATCGCATGACTTACCACACAAAGATGTCATCGCATGACTTACAACACAAAGATGTCATCGCATGACTTACCACAAAAAGATGTCATCGCATGACTTACCACACAAAGATGTCATCGCATGAGTTACCACACAAAGATGTCATCGCATGACTGACAAAGCAAAGATGTCATCCATGACTTACAACACAAAGATGTCATCGCATGAGTTACAAAGCAAAGATGTCATCGCATGACTGACAAAGCAAAGATGTCATCCATGACTTACCACACAAAGATGTCATCGCATGACTTACCACACAAAGATGTCATCGCATGATTTACCACACAAAGATGTCATCGCATGACTTACCACACAAAGATGTCATCGCATGACTTACAAAGCAAAGATGGCATCCATGACTTACCACACAAAGATGTCATCGCATGACTTACCACACAAAGATGTCATCGCATGAGTTACCACACAAAGATGTCATCGCATGACTTACCACACAAAGATGTCATCGCATGACTTACAAAGCAAAGATGTCATCCATGACTTACAAAACAAAGATGTCATCGCATGAGTTACCACACAAAGATGTCATCGCATCACTTACCATACAAAGATGTCATCGCATTACTTACCACAAAAAGATGTCATCGCATGATTTACAACACAAAGATGTCATCGCATGACTTACAACACAAAGATGTCATCGCATGACTTACCACACAAAGATGTCATCGCATGACTTACCACGCAAAGATATCATCGCATGAGTTACCACACAAAGATGTCATCGCATGACTTACAAAGCAAAGATGTCATCAATGACTTACCACACAAAGATGTCATCGCATGACTTACCACACAAAGAGTCATCGCATGACTTACCCCACAAAGATGTTATAGCATGAGTTACCACACAAAGATGTCATCGCATGACTTACAAAGCAAAGATGTCATCGCATGACTTACCACACAAAGATGTCATCGCATGAGTTACCACACAAAGATGTCATCGCATGACTTACAAAGCAAAGATGTCATCCATGACTTATCACACAAAGATGTCAACGCATGAGTTACCACACAAAGATGTCATCGCATGACTAACCATACAAAGATGTCATCACATGACTTACAAAATAAAGATGTCATCCATGACTTACAAAACAAAGATGTTATCGCATGAGTTACCACACAAAGATGTCAACGCATGACTTACCACACAAAGATGTCATCACATGACTTACAAAGCAAAGATGTCATCCATGACTTACAAAACAAAGATGTCATCGCATGAGTTACCACACAAAGATGTCATCGCATGACATACCACACAAAGATGATTTCGCATGACCTACAACAAAAATATGTCATCGCATGACTTACAAAACAAAGATGTCATCGCATGACTTACCATACAAAGATGTCATCGCATGACTCACCGCACAAAGATGTCATCGCATGACTTACAAAGCAAAGATGTCATCGCATGACTTACCGCACAAAGATGTCATCGCATGACTTACAAAGCAAAGATGTCATCCATGACTTACCACACAAAGATGTCATCGCATGACTTACCACACAAAGATGCATCGCATAACTTACCACACAAAGATGTCATCGCATGACTTATCAAACAAAAATGTCATCCATGACTTACCACACAAAGATGTCATCGCATGACTTACCACACAAAGATGTAATCGCATGAGTTACCACACAAAGATGTCATCGCATGACTGACAAAGCAAAGATGTCATCCATGACTTACCACACAAAGATGTCATCGCATGACTTACAACACAAAGATGTCATCGCATGAGTTACAAAGCAAAGATGTCATCGCATGACTGACAAAGCAAAGATGTCATCCATGACTTACCACACAAAGATGTCATCGCATGACTTACCATACAAAGATGTCATCGCATGATTTACCACACAAAGATGTCATCGCATGACTTAACACAAAAAGATGTCATCGCATGAGTTACCACACAAAGATGTCATCGCATGACTTACAAAGCAAAGATGGCATCCATGACTTACCACACAAAGATGTCATCGCATGACTTACCACACAAAGATGTCATCGCATCACTTACCATACAAAGATGTCATCGCATGATTTACCACACAAAGATGTCATTGCCGGATTTACAACACAAAGATGTCATCCATGACTTATCACACAAAGATGTCAACGCATGACTTACCGCAAAAAGATGTCATCGCATGACTTACCACACAAAGATGTCATCGCATCACTTACCATACAAAGATGTCATCGCATGATTTACCACACAAAGATGTCATTGCCGGATTTACAACACAAAGATGTCATCCATGACTTATCACACAAAGATGTCAACGCATGACTTACCGCACAAAGATGTCATCGCATGACTTAACACAAAAAGATGTCATCGCATGAGTTACCACACAAAGATGTCATCGCATGACTTACAAAGCAAAGATGTCATCCATGACTTACAAAACAAAGATGTCATCGCATGAGTTACCACACAAAGATGTCATCGCATTACTTACCACAAAAAGATGTCATCGCATGACTTACCACACAAAGATGTCATCGCATGACTTACAACACAAAGATGTCATCGCATGACTTACCACACAAAGATGTCATCGCATGACTTACCACACAAAGATATCATCGCATGAGTTACCACACAAAGATGTCATCGCATGACTTACAAAGCAAAGATGTCATCAATGACTTACCACACAAAGATGTCATCGCATGACTTACCACACAAAGATGTCATCGCATGAGTTACCACACAAAGATGTCATCGCATGACTTACAAAGCAAAGATGTCATCGCATGACTTACCACACAAAGATGTCATCGCATGAGTTACCACACAAAGATGTCATCGCATGACTTACAAAGCAAAGATGTCATCGCATGACTTACCACACAAAGATGTCATCGCATGACTTACCACACAAAGATGTCATCGCATGACTTACCACACAAAGATGTCATCGCATGACTTACCACACAAAGATGTCATCGCATGACTTACAAAGCAAAGATGTCATCCATCACTTACCATACAAAGATGTCATCGCATGATTTACCACACAAAGATGTCATCGCATGATTTACAACACAAAGATGTCATCCATGACTTATCACACAAAGATGTCAACGCATGACTTACCGCACAAAGATGTCATCGCATGACTTACCACACAAAGATGTCATCGCATGACTTACCACACAAAGATGTCATCGCATGACTTACCACACAAAGAAGTCTGCGACTGGTAAAGCAAGGGCTCAGGACAGATAATCTTTGGGTTCCCGTAACCATAAGAGACGGTATCCGTCTGACCTAACTCAGGTGAATTCAAATGTCCGGCTTTTGAAGCGTTATTGAAGGCTTCATTGAGGGTTTTGGCTAGCTTTTCGTAGAACACGAACGTTTCAGAGGCTGGTGTTTTCTGTATAAATGTCATCCTTATGACAAACTGTATCTGTAGGAAACAAATCTCTTTAGAAAGAAGAATGGTTAAATGTCAATGAAGTGGCTAACAAACGGTCAATTCTCAGCTAACAAACGGTCAATTCTCAGCTAACAAACGGTCAAGTGTAAGCTAACAAATGGTCAATTCTAATGTTGTGTTTCGAGAACTGGTTTACCTTGATTCTGGCGGTTTGTCTGACTGTCCGGTGGTTGGGCCACAACACGCTAGCTGCCTGCAAGTCACGCCTCGCTCTGGCTCCACACGTGACGTTGACGGTGTCTAGAGTACACGTCACCTCCTGGCAATACGTCTTGAATATCTCCGACTCGTTGATAATGGCATAAAATAACCTTTTGATCTCCTCGTTGTCCGAGGAACATTGTGTAGTGTAGTAGTAGATATTGGGCATCATGTCAGCTTCGTCAGCATACTTGGCCGCTGCAAGCATATTCAAACTTTATTCAAAAAATGCAAGTAAAAAAAAAACGTAATTGCTCATTAATAAAGAATGAGAAGAATTCATGAATTAAGTTCAATTTTTTCAACACTTATTTCAATATTCTATAATGTATATAACGGGTATAAAAAGCTACATTTTATAACTACCTCTACACGTTACACAATATTTACATGTACAGATAAGAAAACTGCTATGATAGCGCTTTCTATGACAGCTCTGCCTTACTGCAACATTCACGGTAACATAAGTAGTCGGTAGTGCAATACTCACGGTAACATAAGTAGTTGGTAATATCTCTCGGCTTCCACGAGCCAGTATTCTTGTCACAATAGAAAAGGCCACTGGATAGGTCGCCCTTGGGAAACGAGTAGTTCCCGTTGCACGTGACGTCACAGACTTGGGTATACGCCAGCAGATCGCAGGCCGTTGACCCGTACTCTGGCGGCACGGGGTGACTACAGGCCTGGACTAAAATCAAATGGAACATTAACCATTTTGTCCTTATGCATCATGGACAGTACATCTGAACACACGTCAACTTAAAACTGGAAATTAACCCTTTAACGACGACTGTTGCAAAGATGCGACATTCCCGTGCTACATGACAGAATTCATAAGTTTAAATTGTGTCGTTTTATTTTGTTTTTCCATGATGAGAAGCTTGGGCAAGTGAGTAATAAACACATTGTTTGTCTCAAGGCAATGAAGGAAACATTTCAAGCACACAACGAACTGTGTTTAGTAAAAGTTGGGTTATTACAGTCATATACACAGTCGAATGTAAGAGGAAAATGTAGTGAGTACATACCATTGCAGTAGGGCTTGCTGAGCCCGTACCACCAGTACCCTGAGCCCGATTCTGTTATATTTTTCTCACAACGGATGGAGCTTGGGCCCCCCACAGGGCTCCCGTTACTACAGGAGACGTTGCATTGGGCCCCGTATACGAACCCCTGGGGACAGGAGAACACCATCAGATTTTTCTGGCTCTGGTCCAGACCGGCGGTCAGTGGGTTGTTGCACTCTATGGCTGGAAGAATGCACACACGGATCGTTGAACACATGTACACACACGGATTGTTGAACACATGTACACACACGGATCGTTGAACACATGTACACACACGGATCGTTAAACACATGTACACACACGGATCGTTGAACACATGTACACTCACGGATCGTTGAACACATGTACACACACGGATCGTTAAACACATGTACACACACGGATCGTTGAACACATGTACACTCACGGATCGTTAAACACTTGTACACACACAGATCGTTGAACACATGTACACACACGGATCGTTGAACACATGTACACACACGGATCGTTGAACACATGTACAAACACGGATCGTTGAACACACGCATAACACACGGACATAATTACACATGATCATAGCTCACCTCTGACAGAGACCAGGAAGTTACATGTTGCCGTGTTGCCGGCAGCATCGTGTGCCGTCACCGTCACGTTGGTAACGCCCACAACAAACATACTTTTTGGGGCGGGCACGGCGCTTACAGTGACCGTTTTACCCGAGTTGTCGGTCACTAGGGGGAGGGGGAAGTCGACGTACGTCGGTTGACCAAGTTCAGCAGCAAACACTGGCACATCGTTGCAGGTGAGTATCACAGGGGGTTCATCATCTGAATGTTGCAATGGTGTTAAAAATACATAGAGAGATCTATTTGTATGCAATATTTCAATGATACACAACATAACTTGATGAAAACGGTGATTATAGATAACACAAACACATACACATACACACACACACACACATATATATATATATATATATATATATATTGTGACCTACTTAGGTCTAGTAATGTTTTATTTTTAGTTTGACATTTGTTATAATACCATATATGGTCTGTGGTGCAATGATCGGTTTTTTTCCGCTGTCTTACTAAGAGAGTCTTAGACTCACAAATTTTCCATCGAGAGATGATTGATTGATTCAGACCAGATGACCACCCCAACCAATGGTCTTATGATTTGAAGGTGACCTTCCATGTTACCTAAGTCTATAAATAGATCGCCCACAGGTGTCTCGCGGCAGTCTTTGGTCAGACGTCGTTGAAGAGAGATAAGCCCTGTGTGTTGTCGTGCAGTATTAAGTTGTTATATTACTTGTGAATAAGTAATTCTTTATGCTTATAGCAGTGTTATGTATACAGTGGTGATTTTTCTGAAGTGTTTAAAGCTGTGATAGTGTATCATACTATTTATTCCCACGAATTGTAAGTTGGGTTTTGATCATTCTGTATATCCATTTTATTCTTGCTTAAATCTAGTGTTCTGCCACGACTTTGCACACTCATTACAAGTTATATGCAGATTAAAGGTTTTGTTGGCATCATTAGTTTCTCTAGTGTTTCCCCTAGACATCAATTACGAGTCCTAGCGAGCTAGTGTGTCAATTTTCTTTTATTTAGGCTTGTCGCCATCTGTGTGTAATCAGTTAAACGAATCCGGGAGCGTTCGACATCTATCTGGCTGATAGATTGGTGTCCGTTACAAAGTGGGGACTCGCCGGCATGTAATCTGTTGTAAGAGTTGTTGGTTTAAATATTTAAGCACTAGTTTCAGTTCTAGTTAGTTGTTTCTTAACCCAGTGTGGCTGTGTAAGCGCCGCTCTCAAGGCTAGAGTTATCTAGGTCAGGAAGTCAGACGTGTCGCGTCCTAGATTTAAGGTCAAGTTCATAGCAGAGCGTTGGGCTGTGTTAATTTGTTTTGATTTTGAAACTAGTTGAAATGGAGTCTTTCTTGTTAAATCCCACAGTTGAGGAAGTAGAGAAGTTAAGTAGGAAAGATTTGATTAGTGTTGTAAAGGAATTGAAGTTGGATTATTCCGTCACTCAGAAATCAGAAGTGTTAAGAGATAAAATTATTGTTCATTTTATCAATGAAGGTGTGTTCGAAGAGAGTTTGTTGGCTGGGGTGATACTCCGTGAGGAGAAACCTCTAGAGAAGGTAGAATTAGAAGCTAGAATTGCTATAGAGAAACAGGAGTTGGAGGCTAAAGTTACTTTAGAGAAACAGGAGTTGGAGGCTAAAGTTACTTTAGAGAAGGCTTTAAAAGAACAGGAGTTAGAGGCTAAAATTGCTTTAGATAAGAGGAGGTTGGAATTAGAGTTTGGTAAAATTAGTGGTGATGTCACTACTATAGTGGATCCTAAAAAGTTGTCGGTGGGGCAGGTGATTGCCAAATTTGGGAAATTAATTCCTAAGTTCAATGAAATAGATTTGGTTGTCTTCTTTAACTCATTTGAGAGTTTAGCGAAGGCATGTGAATGGCCCGAAACTTCCATTACTGCTTTATTGAGCACGGTTCTTACTGGAAAAGCTGCAACCACATATCAGGCACTCTCTCACGACGTTCAAACTAACTATGGGCTGGTCAAGACTGCCATTTTGAAGGCCTACGAATTGACTCCAGAGGCCTATCGGATAAAATTCCGAGCACTCCGCAAGCTACCCACTCAATCATATGTGGAATTTCTCTTTGAAAAAGAGAAAATTTTCTCAAGGTGGCTAAACTCTGAGGAAGTTTCAGAGTTTGAGAGACTAAAATCACTTGTTCTGAGGGAGGAATTCCTAAAGTCCCTGCCTGAAGACATACGACTACACATACTGGATAACAAGATAGTCGAAATCCAGAAGGCTGCTGAGTCGGCTGACGCATATACGTTGGTGCATAAGAAACCACCCGTGTCAGGAAACCGCCTCAACCCTGTGCTTCCCCTTTTTGGCAACAGTACCCCTGTTGGCCAACACTTGAAGACGTCACAGTCCAGAGAGAAGCCAAGATCAACTCTCAGTCGTCGAGCAGTATGCCAGTTCTGCAAGAGACCTGGTCACCTTGTCAAGGACTGCTATAAGCGTCCTCAATTTAACAGAGAGGTGGTGCGTACCTCTGCGCACTATGCTCTAACCCATCAAGCAGCCAGTTCAAATATGAACTCTCGTCTTCAGAATGACACTAACCCGAAGTGTCTACAGGAAGGAAGTCAAGTCTCCACACATTATGTTCAGTCACATTTTGACTGTTCACGCCACCATCCAGTTTCTTCCGAGTCTACCGATCTCGAGGGATCGAGAAAGGTTGACTTTTCATCTTTCATTGCAGAAGCTGTCATTAGCAAACCAGGTGATCCGTTGTCTCAGCGGAAAATCACCGTCCTAAGAGACACAGGAGCGTCACAGTCACTTCTTTTGAAAAGCTCAATGGAGACGAACACCGGGAAAGTTTCCATTATCCAAGGAGTGGGGGCAGAATCCACTGTCGTCCCTCTACACAAGTTTTCCCTGAAACATCATCTCGTCGAAGGTGAAGTCATTTTAGGTGTGATAGATAGTATTCCTGTCCCAGGAGTACACCTGCTTCTAGGGAATGACCTTGCGGGAAGCAAAGTATACCCCTGTACGGTTCAAAACCCTTTGTCAACAGTTCCAGATAATAATGAACTGTATCCTGCATGTGTGGTGACAAGAAGCCAGACCAAACAATTGGCTGACACAGCGCATGAACCACACCTACCATCATCGTCGGGAAATCCATCTCCCAAACTGGAGTCTATGCTTCCGGAGAATACAAGCCTGGGCTTACCCCTGAGGATATCTCAGGAAGACATCATTAAAGCTCAACAAGTCGACGCGGAACTCAAAGCAATGGTCTAAAAATCTCTCTCAGCTGACGATGGGGAGTATTTATCCGAGAACGATCTCTTCTTTCGTCGCTCTGTACCAGTGGATGCCTCACCTGCCGAACCATGGTTGGGTAAAAACCAGCTGTGCGTCCCTCCACCTTATCGGCATGAAATACTGAAACTGGCACATGACCATCCGATGTCAGCGCACCCAGGAGTCACGAAAACAATGGCGAAGATCAAAGAACTGTTTTTTTGGCCCAAAATGAAAAATGATGTGTCGCGTTACTGCAAAAGTTGCACGAACTGTCAGTTGGCCGGGAAGCCAAACCAGAAAATTCCTAAGGCCCCATTGAGTCCGATTCCTGTATTAGAAGAACCCTTTTCTAAAATCATCATGGACTGTGTAGGTCCCTTGCCTAAAACCAAGGCGGGCAACGAGTACCTACTTACCTTTATGTGTTCAAGTACCCGTTTTCCCGAGGCGTTCCCCTTACGGAACATTAAGGCAAAGACTGTCGTCAAAGCCATGACCCGGTTCTTCACTACCTTTGGATTACCTAGAATCGTTCAAACAGACCAAGGCAGCAACTTCACCAGTCACCATTTTCAGGAAGCGCTAGCCAAGCTAGGCGTTACCCACGTCACCAGCTCAGCCTACCACCCTCAGTCTCAAGGTGTACTTGAGAGGTTCCACCAGACCCTAAAAACCATGCTGAGAACGTTCGCTAAAAGTAACACCCAATGGGATGAAACTGTTCCATGGATTATTTTCGCCGCTAGAGACTGTGTCCAGGAATCTCTAGGTTACTCTCCTTTTCAGCTTGTGTTTGGACTTTCTGTCCGTGGTCCCCTGAAGCTGATCCACGAGCGTTGGACAGGTACCAGTGATCATCCAGTGGAAAACTTTGACGATTTTCACGTTCGACTGAAAGCCGTGTGCGAAATGGCTCACAAGAACTTAAGAAAGGCCCAAGTGAGAATGAAAGGACTGTATGATAAGAGTTCTCGTAAACGAACATTCAATCCAGGCGAGAAAGTTCTTGTGCTCGTGCCTAATCTGAACAATGCGTTATCCTTAAGATATTGTGGACCCTTTACTGTGCATTCAAAATTAAGTGATTTGAACTATGTTGTCAATACGCCAGACAGAAGAAAGAAACAGACAGTGTATCATGTTAACTCACTGAAAAAGTATTATGATAATTGTAACAATTTTCATTCCACAGCTAAAATTACTTTACCTGTATGTTCAAATGTTTCTGATGATGTGATACATGACAAATTGAAACCCCCAAAATTGGTAAATTCTTCTTTTTTAGATAATTTAAATGACCACCTTATGCATTTGTCCCCTGAGGAAAACCACAAATTGTCTCAGTTATTTGAGACATTTCCCTCTATTTTTGGGGATGTCCCCAAAGAAGCGAAGGTACCACCTCATGATGTAGATGTAGGTGAAGCAAAGGCTATCAAACAACACCCCTATAGAGTTAACCCGGAAAAGGCTGTTTTGATAAAAGATGAAATTGATTATATGATCAAAAATGATATCATGAAACCCAGTTTAGCAATTGGAGTTCCCCCTGCCAGTGGTCCCAAAAGAAAACGGACCAGGATGTGGTACAGTGGTTAGGATCTCGGCGCGCCATGGCGGCGGCCGAGGTTCGATTCTTCGGTGCGGAACCGAGAATTGTAGCTTGAGTGGTCTAATGGTTAGACACTTGAGTGAGCTGTGAGTCTTGGTGGCCCACAAATTTTAATCTGGAAATTTCCCATATTAAGGGAACTGATAATGTTGTGGCTGACTGTTTGTCAATGATGTAAAATTTTATTACCCACATTGATCATGAGACATGTGTTGTGGTTGGTTGAGACCATTTACAAGTTTGTTTGGGTGAATGTGAGTGGTCTGAATTTTGAATTTTTTTCAAAATTACAATCCTGTTAAATATTTTGTTTATTTTCAGGTGAACCTTATTTAAAGGTGGTTTTTCATTATATGTAATCTTTTATGATAAAATGTCTCATATGACTCAGTTGATATTGTAGCTAGTCATTGAAATAAAGAAATTACCCTGTCAGGTTTACCACTTTTAATATCCACATGGAAATATTGTAATACCCCTTTCTGAGGGATTTTGATGTATTATTATTTTTTGAAAGGGTTACTCCCCTTTCACGAATTGTAAAAGTTTGAGTTACTTCCCTTTTATGTCCAGGGATGTTTTCACCTGGTATTAAGATTTTGGTTGGCTACATTTGTAGAACATTTTTTTTTATTTTATTGCCAGATTGGTTCCTTATGTATGTTTTTGTGGAACCTATCTGCCACTTCCAAAAAGGGAGGGTATGTGACCTACTTAGGTCTAGTAATGTTTTATTTTTAGTTTGACATTTGTTATAATACCATATATGGTCTGTGGTGCAATGATCGGTTTTTTTCCGCTGTCTTACTAAGAGAGTCTTAGACTCACAAATTTTCCATCGAGAGATGATTGATTGATTCAGACCAGATGACCACCCCAACCAATGGTCTTATGATTTGAAGGTGACCTTCCATGTTACCTAAGTCTATAAATAGATCGCCCACAGGTGTCTCGCGGCAGTCTTTGGTCAGAAGTCGTTGAAGAGAGATAAGCCCTGTGTGTTGTCGTGCAGTATTAAGTTGTTATATTACTTGTGAATAAGTAATTCTTTATGCTTATAGCAGTGTTATGTATACAGTGGTGATTTTTCTGAAGTGTTTAAAGCTGTGATAGTGTATCATACTATTTATTCCCACGAATTGTAAGTTGGGTTTTGATCATTCTGTATATCCATTTTATTCTTGTTTAAATCTAGTGTTCTGCCACGACTTTGTACACTCATTACAAGTTATATGCAGATTAAAGGTTTTGTTGGCATCATTAGTTTCTCTAGTGTTTCCCCTAGACATCAATTACGAGTCCTAGCGAGCTAGTGTGTCAATTTTCTTTTATTTAGGCTTGTCGCCATCTGTGTGTAATCAGTTAAACGAATCCGGGAGCGTTCGCCATCTATCTGGCTGATAGATTGGTGTCCGTTACAATATATATATATATATATATATATATATATATATATATATATATCGGGGTGGGGGTGGGGGTGGAAAAGGGGCACTTAAAGATTCAGTTTGAGGGGGGGGGTGTTCGATAGGTGCTAAAGTATAAATTTTCTACACAATATTTATATTTTATATTTTGTCTGAAGAGGGCGGTTACGGAGAGATGCCTGAAAGAAACCCTGCTGGCAACTGAGCCCAGGTCTAAAGCCTTACCTAGACACGCCCAGCGTCTACAGGTCTAAAGCCTTACCTAGACACGCCCAGCGTCTACAGGTCTAAAGCCTTACCTAGACACGCCCAGCGTCTACAGGTCTAAAGCCTTACCTAGACACGCCCAGCGTCTACAGGTCTAAAGCCTTACCTAGACACGCCCAGCGTCTACAGGTCTAAAGTCTTACCTAGACACGCCCAGCGTCTACAGGTCTAAAGCCTTACCTAGACACGCCCAGCGTCTACAGGTCTAAAGCCTTACCTAGACACGCCCAGCGTCTACAGGTCTAAAGCCTTACCTAGACACGCCCAGCGTCTACAGGTCTAAAGCCTAACCTAGACACGCCCAGCGTCTACAGGTCTAAAGCCTTACCTAGACACGCCCAGCGTCTACAGGTCTAAAGCCTTACCTAGACACGCCCAGCGTCTACAGGTCTAAAGCCTTACCTAGACACGCCCAGCGTCTACAGGTCTAAAGCCTAACCTAGACACGCCCAGCGTCTACAGGTCTAAAGCCTTACCTAGACACGCCCAGCGTCTACAGGTCTAAAGCCTTACCTAGACACGCCCAGCGTCTACAGGTCTAAAGCCTTACCTAGACACGCCCAGCGTCTACAGGTCTAAAGCCTTACCTAGACACGCCCCTGCGCCGCTCCAGCCCAGATTCGACTGACAGGCGATGGTAGAAGAGTTGACGACCTTGTATCCAGGCTCACATTGCAGACTGCACACGGCTTCGTACGCCAACCCGTGTGAGCAGTTGAAGTTGCCATTAGCGACGGTTGAAGGGTATGGGCACTGCAGGCCTAAAAATAGAGATCAATATTTCTAGTCTTGTTACAACAGACACGACGTGATGGTGGCGGTGTGGCTGGTTGTATGGGGGTGTGGCTGGTTGTATGGGGGTGTGGCTGGTTGTATGGTGGGTGTGGCTGGTTGTATAGTGGGTGTGGCTGGTTGTATGGGGGTGTGGCTGGTTGTATGGTGGGTGTGGCTGGTTGTATGGTGGGTGTGGCTGGTTGTATGGTGGGTGTGGCTGGTTGTATGGTGGGTGTGGCTGGTTATATGGTGGGTGTGGCTGGTTGTATGGTGGGTGTGGCTGGTTGTATGATGGGTGTGGCTGGTTGTATGGTGGGTGTGGCTGGTTATATGGTGGGTGTGGCTGGTTATATGGTGGGTGTGGCTGGTTGTATGGGGGTGTGGCTGGTTGTATGATGGGTGTGGCTGGTTGTATGGTGGGTGTGGCTGGTTGTATGGTGGGTGTGGCTGGTTGTATGGGGGTGTGGCTGGTTGTATGGTGGGTGTGGCTGGTTATATGGTGGG